GTGAGTGTTATTTGCTGCAGCTCCTTCTCAGACGGTGCTCTCACGCAGGCAAAATTAAATACAAAACCACAGAAAACCCACCCGAGGGAAAAGGTCGGGAGCCAGGGCTCCCCAGCCTGATCGCGTTTGCAGCTTCTCTCATTACATTTTTGTTTTGCAAACGGCTGATGGCTGATTTCAGTTTGGTTTTTCACAGCAAACTACTCTGGTCTATGGCGTGGTGTAACTACGGGAGCATGAATGATTGGAGGGGTTTTTTATCTCCCCTCTCCCTCTCTTCCCCCCCCCCCCCCCCCCTTCCTCCTTCCATGCAGTTTCCTGTGAAATAAGTAAGTCAGGTCACGTAGAGTCTGGATTTTCTAGGCTTCTTTTGGACAACGTGGCTTGCTTTGCGTTCTGCAGCATGCAGAAGCAGTCCATCGCTACCTTAAGCGAACTGTTATTTTCTAAAGGCTTGGGCAGCTGGGTTATACCATTTTTATTTAATTTTATTTTTTTTTAAGTGTAGGAATTCCTATTTCATAATTCAGATCCTGTTTGGACGCATTTTTTTCCCTGCGGCTCTGAATACCCCCCTTGTGTTTCAGTGGAGCGCTAAGAAAATGCGAGTAGCCTGCTGTGTATTACTGAACATACAGGGTGCATTACAGAGGACGTGCGTGGCTACGAAAGTGTATTTCGGGTTTATTTATACCCCATTACAAGTGACTCAACTCCGCAGAAGTAATTGGAGTTGGAACAGGATGAAAATGGCACGAGGGATGTGCGAATGGCGCTGCGTGCTAACGCGTTTGTTTATGGGTGTGTGTGCACTGCAAACATGTATGTTCCCAAGTGTGTGTGCGCAGATGTACGTGGGGATGCGAGTTGCTTTAGGCAGAGTTTCTGAAATGCTGAAATGAAAGTAGGGAAGGCAGAATCTGCCTTGAAGTGCATAGTTCTGTTTCCCCAACCCCTCCAAACAAAACAGCAGCAAAAGAAGGCACAGCAACTCCCCATCTCCGTTGAAAAGCATCCCTTTTGTTTAAAACCCCAGGGGGTGGGGGAGATATGCTGGGAGTTCTCACTTCTGGGGCTGTGTGTGTGGAAGCAGTGCAGGGAGCATTTTGCGACAGGGGGGAAATCTTGTGGGTTTGGGAATCTCGCGGGCTGGTGGCGGCCGGATCCTGAGCGGAGTCCTGGATCCTGAACAGAGCCCCTGGTGTGGATGGGGCGGGAGGAATGCAGGGTCCTTCTCCAGCTGTTCCCTATTAGAGCTCTGAGCCGGCAGGATTTGGCAGCTGCCTTGTGCTGCCATTTGATGACAAGGTCCAGCGCAGTGCCGTGTTCCACTGAGGACAGATTTAAGTCCTTCTGCAGGAAACCAAGCTGGGGGCTGCTCCGGTGCGAAGGGATCGGGGCTGGCTACGGGGGAGCGAGGCTGGAATTGGCCGTTCCCTTATATAGCTCACAGGAATGAGAAGGAGGAATGCTGCCGAGTGTGTCTGGGCGCAATACTGCTGGTTTTATAAACAGCTGAAGGGCCAAACCTCATCCATTTGGGTGGGGAGGCCCCGGGGGGGGCAGGGAGGGAGCATGCTCTCTAAACTCAGCTGCTCTGGGATAGATTTGCAGCTTCCCATTGCTGGCTTTAGCACAAGGTTGCTGCGATTACTGCTGCAAGTCAGTGTGAGCAGCCCATTTCAAATTTGGTATTTTTTTATCAGTATTGTGATTTCTCATTCACGTTGTGGTTTTGGCAGTAGCCGTGTCCCCTGGTCATTAGAGGTGTGATTTACCTGCTGACTGCAGAAAAGATGAATTACGAAGGGAAACAGTGTCTTGAAGCCTTCCCAAATACAAAGTCATGTATGGCTGCCTGTGTGGTGGCATTCACTCCGTATAAGCCAGGGTGGAAACCAAGGGTTGGGCTCTTTCCATCTCCACTCATCCGAGCAATCCCTGCTTGCCCCTGTAATCCCACTGACCTTACTTGGCACAAGGATTTCTCCTGCAAGCAAAGCTCAGCACCCAGCCTCCCGCCTGTCCCTTAATGCATTTGCAGAGCTGCTTGCACTTCACCTGATGTTTCTTCCAAAACCGAGCTGTTCCTCCAGGGCGTTTGTAACTCTGATAGCAAAACCTGGGTCTATTGGGTTGTTCTTTTTCACCAGACACCCCTCTGTATGGCTTTCCCATGAGATGGACGTACCTATGCATCCTGCAGAGAAGGACGTACTTTTCTGAGCTGAGCAGTTCTCCTTGCAGTGGAGGGAAACATAGCTGAGATTTGCAACCAAGAACTCTTAGAAAAACTGCTTTTGTCTCCAGTGTTAACACTTCCTTCTTGTTAAAACCACCTGTATTTCTCAAATCGCTCCTGTTTGGCACTCATTTTGCAGCCTGGCATTTTTTGCTTGCCTGGCAGTGGAATCACACCAGGTTGTTCTGAAAAGCAGAGGCATAATCTAACCTTGTGTTACTCTTCACTGTTTTTATCCTGTTGTTTGCGTAACTGATTTGGGCTTGATTCTCTCCCAGGCTGGGGGCTGAGGTGGCTTGTGTTACATTTTCCTGCAGTTTACTGGCTTGGAAATGGTAGCTCCCTGCTTGAAGGTACCCCACCAGCGTCCTTGTAGATGCTGGGGATGCAGCAATGGTGGTGTGTGAAGGACTGTGGGGTGACAGCGTTGTGCAGCCTAAATGGGATGTAGGAGCTGGCTGTAAGACATGAGGGTCTTCACCTTCAGTGGAGGAATGGGTGAAATGTTCTGTCTGGCAAGGGGTGTCACTGTGATTTAATTACCACCAGTCTGAATGCAACGTGCTGGTCTGATTTGCTGGAGGAAGTGTCCAGATTGACTTAACAGTGGGTTAGGCGAGTTGTTTTATATGTGAAGCACCTGGTGCTTGCCCCAACAAGGTTGGGCCTTTGGGAAGACTTGAATGTATCACAAGTTCGCAGCCATTAGAAGGAGGGAGCAGCCCTACTGTGTTCCTTGGTGGATGGGCACCATCCTTGGCAGTATCATTACCAACAAATGGGGTCAAGAGGGGCCTCAAAAGGAGCATGAAATCCCCACTAGCTAGTGGAGCTGGGCTCATGAGCTGTTAGGTGTGTGTAGACCAGGCATGGAGGAAAAACTCTGAACAAAGGTGCCCAGCTAGTTCTTGCCTGGTAGACTCCACATGAAAGGTCTGCTGTATGGCAGATGAGGTGGGGAATACATCAAGGAAAAAAAATAACTCTTTTTAGCAGTTAATTGACATGGAGAAGCAAGTATATTTATTTTGAAAGAGTTCCATCTTTTTTCCAACTGGGATGTTATTTTTTATAATGATAGCCCTCCTAGTTAGCATTGAAAACCCAGTGTGGTTCTGCTATGAACCCTCAGAAAGCCCTGAGGACCCTCCTGCTTCTGTGGTACTTTGGGTACCTGCTCAAGCATGGAGGGGTGGATATAACCACATTGCCCTCCGCAGATGAGAGGCATCTTGCAGAAATCTACACTGGTGTCTCAAGAGCACACTGGAGATTTGGTGACTACATATAGGGTGTGGGGCTGTGCAGATGACTGCGAGACCACCTGCAATCTGTAGTGCACTTAAAAGGTGTTGCTTGATTATAAAGGTAAAATAGAAGTGAGAAGCAACCATCGGAGGAAATCTGTATATGTTGTTTCATCAGCTGAGGTGTACAGCTTGTAGTTATTCTGTGTGGCGGCTATGAGTAGCCTCGCAGAGCTTTAATGGTTTAGCTGGTGAAGAATGTGGGTTGCTGCTAATTCAGTTTGAGCACAAATGGCTTGGCCTGCCATGGATGGAGAAGAATATTGAAACCATATTATCCCTGCACAGAAATAGAAGTTTCAGGTATTACATAGTGCTATTTAAAAGCCTGCTATAACTTCCTTCCTTCCTTCCAGCCTGGCCTCGCTGGGCAGCTTCGGTCCCAGCTGCTTGGAGCCGTCAGGACGTGGCGACCTTCTCCAAGCCACCGCTAAAGGTCAGGCAGGAGTGCCCCTGGGTGGGAGCAGAACCTGTGCTGCCGGCTGGGGCTGAGGCTGAGGCACCGAGAGGCACCAGGCATGGCCACCCCGCAGGGTACAGACCCCATGAGGAGATGTGGGGTCCATAGGCTCTTGGCGTTGAGTGCAGGATGTGCTTCTGATTTCACCTGCTTGGGCATCCCCTCTCTGATGGCCAGAGGTGTGACTGGAGATGTTTTTCTGGAGTAGTCCCACATCCAGACCCACCAGTCCTGCCGTGGGAGCTGCCATGGCTTCCTCACTCCTGTGGTCTCTGCTGGCTGACAGAGATGCCTGAAGTCTCCTGTGGGTCCTCTGGGCATCCAGATACCCACCTGCACTGATAGTAGCAGAGTGACAACTTTAAGCTCCTGGTCTTGAAGCTTTCTTTGCCCTGTGCACAGGACATTAACCACTTCACATGTTAAGGCTAAAGTCTTTATTTTGTTTCAGCAGGCTGTCAAGTTTCACAATGAGAACATCAAAATGACCTAGGTTTCCTGTCCTGGGAAGGACTGGCCGGAGGAAGAGACAAGGGTTGTAGAGAGCTGTAATGTCTTTAATTAGACCAAGTGATACAGCTGGAAAAATGGCCAAGCACAAAGGTGCGCCAGCTCAAAGGAGAGCTTGTGTGGTTGTGGTTTCTTCTTTTATTTTTTTTCCCAACTGTACCAGCTGGTCTGTTAAAAGGTATTACATGTTCCTCACTTCTTGTATCCTTGGGTCGTTGTGGCTCCAAGCCTTATGACTGTGGATGCCACCCTGGTTGCAGATAGTCTCTCAGCTCATTGGGAGGCTGCTACCCCTTCACCGTGCAGTGACCCCCACTGATGGAAAAGTCATCCCAGTGCCCAGTTTGAAAGTGGTTCCCATTTTTTTTCTTTGTTTTCCTTGGCTTGCTGGTGCATTGCAGTGCTGAGCTGTAGCATAAGTGCCCCTGGGCTGTGCAAGAGCTGGGCTATCCCGTGGCAGGGACCGGAGGAGTGAGTAGGC